TTTTTTTATTTTTTTTTTTTTGGTTTTATTTATCAAACATACTTTCCAAACCCGGACAACCACATGGTGACAATTAAAGGAGGTACTAGCGAGATATAATTAAAAAAGGGAGCAAACCAACAGAAACTTTCACCTAGTCTAGTAGAACAACACCATCATCCACCCTTCAAAGCTTACTCACAACACCGTCGACAATCTTGGCCACTTCCTCAAACTTGGTGAAAGTAGGACAATGCCCCGTCTCCACCTCGAAAGTATCGACGTCTCTACCCGCCTCCCGCATCTTCTCTACAAACGACTTCTGATAATCCAAAGGCACCGTCATATCAGCCGTGGAATAGATGTACGACACAGGAATATCTCTCCAAGCGCACCGTTCGACAGCCTGATACATAGTCTTTCCATTCCAACGCGGCATAGCAGCGATGTAAGCATCGGTCTCCTCATCCGACCGACCAGGCCCAACAATTAGATTCTTCGGGTCACGGCTCACACAACTGTTATCCTCCGCGAAATCAAATGCCAGGGGAATCAGCTCCCCGTGTCCGAATGCCTCTACGACGCTAATCATAGAGTTGTTCTCCGTGACGGCGAAGGCAGCGATGTAGATCAACCGGACGACCCCACCCGTCCGGCCTTGTTGTTTCCGGGTCTCAGCCCCCAGGCCCACTAGGGCGTTGGTGCCTACTTGACCACCGTAAGAGTGCATGAGGACGACCACCTCCCGGCCGGCTTCAGCGAGGCTCTCCACGTAACTGCGGATGAGATCCGTGTCGGAGGAAAGATCTGTATTGGGGGGACGGGCCCCGTTCACGGAGAGCAAGCGGGGCACGTGGACTTCATGGCCCTTGGACCTGAGTGCAGAGGTGAATTCAGCGTAGTGGGCTGAGGTGTGCCAAGCGCCGTGGACTAGAAGGATGGCGGGGCTGGAGTTGGGCATTCTGAAGTTGAAAAGGGCGATGGTGGACGGGTGTTTTGGAGCGGAGAAAGGATAGCCAAGGAGGAATTGAATCAATAAGGGTAAATAAGTCTTAGGGAGGTGGTAGGTATGGAGGCTAGGGGGAGGGGTAAGTGATCTCCTTATTTATGTTCTCTATGGATAGGATAGGGAGGGAAGTAGGATACGTTATTGTTCCTGGGCTGATCTTAAAACAGCTCTCCACCGGACGTGATCGGCTGGTCCAGTGGAAAATAAAGGCAACACACCCGGTAGTTTCATCCGCTAAGACTAGCGTGTTTGTTGAGTCTTTGTTACAGTTATTAAGGTGCAAGAGGTGGGGAGAGAAAATCTGAGGTCAGATTTCGAAGTATGTACGGAGTATGTTTACAATTTTGTTGGTTTCGTACGTAATATTGATTGATACCGTCTCGCTGTGTTATTATGTAAAGTACTGGTTTCCCTGCAATAACCATAGATTGAGAGTCTGGCATGGGTAAGAAACGAAATAGACATAAACAGGGCAGAGCCCGACAGATCAGATCAAATCCACAAATAATGCGAGACTTCGAAATGCCAACCCTACTAGTATCACAAGTTAGTAGCATGTATGTGCAGAGTTGGTCCATATGATGCTACGAGGAGTACTCTCAAGAAGATGCGGAATCCCAGTTAACCTGCATATCGGTCTGCACGCGCACAGCCTTCGAACCCACTGCTCCGTGATTCGGCTTCGGGGGCACCGACTCAATATCAGTGTAGCAGCCACGCCTCATGGTGGAGGAATCATTCTGATTCTTCGTCGAATTCCCAGACCCCAGAAAGAGCGGTCGAGACGATCCACCGCTAGACCATTTGGTGCTACGCCTGTCGGAGCTACAGAAGTGTTGCATCAGGCTAGGGAGCATTGGTAGGCAGGAACAAATAATACCGGTGTCCATCTCCATCAGCGTCCAGATTCCCGGCGTCGTCAGCGAGTCTAAAATGAAGTCAGCTTCTGTGAAAGGTTGTCGTCATCCATCCAGCCCGCAGGGAATCCAGGGAGGACCTACACGTTACATCGTCCATATTCATGGTTGCAAGGAAGTATAATCGCACGATACTGGCAATACAGACGCTACAAAATCATGGGATTTTCGGCAGCCGGGCACAGGCGAACTATGCAGCGGGTAATACTTTCAAAGACGCTCTCGCTCATTATCGATTGACTCGCGGGCAAAAGGCCGTGTCTATTGACCTAGGCCTGATGGTGACTGAAGGTGTAGTTGCGGAGAGCGAATTCCTTCTTGAGTCCATGCGTCGCCTTGGTCATTTGATGGAGATCGCGCAAGATGAGCTCATCGCGCTGTTGGACTATTATTGTAATCCCGATCTCCCTCTACTTTCTCAGGACGCCGGGCAAGTCATCGTTGGGATCGAGATGCCATCAAAAGTGATAGCGAAAGGGGTAGACCTGCACCATTCGATCCGCCGGCCGATATTCAGTCATTTATTCAGAATGGATACCCAGGAAGCCTCGAAGCTGCACAAGGTCCAGGCAGGTGCGGCAAATGTTAATCGCTCTTCAAGGCTCAAAAATGCTACGTCACACAATGAGGCAACTGAGCTTGTCACTGAATGGCTTTCAGCCAAAGTTGGTCACGTCTTGGGGATGTCACCGTCAGATATTGAGCCGGGTAAGCCAATCCAGGCTTATGGGATTGACTCGCTTGTGGCTATCGACTTGAAGAACTGGTTCGAGACGGAAATCGGGGCATCGATGACAGTATTTGATGTAATGAGTAACACGCCTTTGGGACGGTTGAGTGCGATGGCGGCTGAAAAGAGCCGCTATCGTCGCTAGACTGCACTCTCTTGATAGTTAATGAAGTGAATTATTTAACCCGAAGTCAAGGTATATCAGAGCGATGACAGCAAGTAGGTTGAGCGGTGCCAACATACAGGCTACTGCAGGCGACAGTAGATAAAACAGATAGAGCGCAAGATCAAGCTGTATATAAAATAACTGACAAGATATAGTTGAAAAAGCTGGAATAGATTATAATAATAGACAGAATTACTATGAATCTTACTATATATATAGAGTAGTTAGAGCAGGCAGTACTGTAAGCCACCTAAATACTGTATTCCATAATGGATCACAATGAGACATGACAAGCTGCTTAGGATCATAGTTTCGCTCAGACAACTCTTAACAAATATGAATTCTCTGCGTCAACCTACTCAATAAATGAGGTTCTCAACTAGCTCTTTATTACTGAATCGGTCCATTAGCTCCTGTCATACTAGTTGTCAACGATCTTCAACAGCCTGTTATAGCAATTATATACTATGGCCGCCTCCAAATCTACACGTAAGGTTGATTAAATCATTGGGATAAGACTTCAAGACAAGCCACCACCACCACCACCCCTTCTCAAACCCCGTCGAGAAATCTGTGTGCAAGATATCTGCAATTTTACATATCGCATCGGACAGCCTACTTTCCTTTTGGCAATATACCATGCTCCCACTACATACAAGCTCAATTTACTAGGAATGTATCATCAAGCCCTTGGAGAGTGGGGTTGCTTGGGATAATTATTGTGTAGTTTGTAAGAAAGTGTCGAATAGATCAAGGACCATTATGATGATGTTGGGTATCACGCACGCACTAGTATAGCTCAGAAGGCGATCGTTGTTCGGCTCCTGGGCTGTTTCCAGGTAGCTCATGTCCTGGTCGCGTACTGCCCAGTAGCTCTGGCCGGGTAGGGTTATTATGCAATTCCGCCGAGGTACCACTATAGTTTGCTGCAGATGGATTATTGGAATACCCTTTTGGTTGGGCATAAAGGGCAAGTGGGTTGTAGCTCGCATTAGTGTAGTCAGGCTGTGCTGCTGGTGAGGAATGACGGCGGCGGCGACGACGACGAAGGAAAAACCATATTAGTCCCACGATTAACAGTGCGCCGCATACTCCTCCGACCACACCACCCGCAATTGCACCTGCATTTGTGGACGAACCCTGAGGCAGCGATGACTCAGAACCTGCTGAAGTCGAGGAAGGTTCGGAGGTTGTGGTGGATATCGAGGTTTGTGAGGATGTTGAAGAGGCTGCCGAAGTAGTCGACGCTTTTTATTGCGTTAACTGCTCTGATTCTCTTGGGATGCGGTTAGAAAACATGACTTACCTGTCAATTTACCCTCCTGGATCACCCTCGTCATGGTACCCTCATCATGACCTTTATTATATTCATCCAGTGTCGCACAACCTTTGTAACCTTCCTTATTATTGAATCCTATCAAACCTGAGGCGCAGCAAAAGTATCCATAATCATCCGAGTAGAGGATCAAGGCTGGATCGGCGCATTGTTTTGGGATTTTTGTGGTCGTTTTCTCAATCCTGCATCCTGTATTGTTATCATTGTCCGTAAAGAACGACGTTCCGGCCGGGCAGCATGTCGACCAGTTGTCCCAGGTTGGATGTCCCGTTTCGGTATCCTCGCATAGATTCGCTCGACGGGCCGCCCAGCCGTCTCTTGCATCCGACGACATTGTATCTTGTAAAGAGATCCGATCCAGGCGCCAAGACAAAAGAGGTTTGAAGATTGGAACAACCGGTTTCTGGCCCGGTGCTAATGGGACAGCTCGCGACGCAGGTGAAAAAAATGACGGAAGGCCAGAGGGCCTGAGGAGGAGAGAAATACCCCAGAAATGAAGATCGCCGAGCATGCGACCATTGTGGACTTGTATAAATAGTAGACTGGAAGAACCAACAGACACATCCCAACAATTGGCAGAACCCCTTCTAGGTGGGTCTAGTGCTTATCCTTGGCCCCCTAAAGTTCCGAAGATATGTATGGGACGTCGCTTCGAGGTTCAGCCTCGCGGCTGGAGGGAAGAAACAATCTCGATGTTTCTGATCTTATGAACTGAAATATCCCCACGGTATGTCGGACACAAATCTATAGAAGACATTCATTACTCGTGGCTTTAGAAGATCATACAGAAATTGTAAGATACTATATAAGGTATCGTAGCGAAGCGAGTGAAGAGAGGCCAACACTTGCCCGTGTGGTAGTAGTATATACACTAACTATACAGGGTCCACTGGGCCCTTCAATGAGCCAAGGCTTGGCACATGCACAATTCTTGCACAAACACGAGGCTGTAAGGTGGAGATGGGAAGGAAAACCGAGACTCCATCCTTGGAGAATTATGGTCTTCGAAGGTGAACTGCCTCAGCCTAACTTCAGATCGTTCAAAGGTATACCCAATCGATGGTTGTGAAGCCATTTCCTTCCCCACTCAACCCCGCCCGGCATTCATTTTCCACACTTGTTTGTCTTGTGTTTCCCTCCAAATGAATAAACCAGCAGCCATTGCATTGCGTGGAAAGTATGCTGTCGTTATATAAATCATTATGAGTGCCATGCACCTTGCCTATGGAGACGGCAGCTGTGCACCTATGTTGGACGAAATACAGCCCCCTTTGATCTCTCCTGATGATAGATCAAAAACTAGACAATATACGGAGTACGGAAAACCCACTCCGTACGTTAATTGCAAGGGTCCATTGTCATCACGTGTCACATTTCCCAAATAAGTAGGTGAGCTAAGGTTTACAGCACCTTGTATGGATGAGATAACAATTCAACATAATGAGCAATACATGAATAGAGATATTACTATACTGATTCATTGGTGTATGGTTGATGATATACTACCAGCACCCTCCTTTCCCCTGAGATTGCGACATTGGTTACAAGCCCGGACTTGCAGCGTTTTGTCTGACCAACAAGCCTCTGCACTTCGGGAAGTTTATATGGATTATAAAACCCTATCTAAGCAGCCGGGAAGGAAGCACTAGCCGTCAAATGATTGAAGCCAGAGAGGCTGAGTGAGAAAGAATCTTAGGAGCCCAGACAGGATTGAAGCTGGCAAGGAAACCGAGCAAAGGAATCCTATGAGGTAATACAATGAATTGACGATCTATATGGAATCAGCAACAGAACGAACAAGTTGGATGAAGATATGATCACCACCATACTTCTTAAAGGTCATACAAAGTGAATATAAGCTTATGAGAGATGCTTTGGTCGCTCAGGGGTCCGAAGAGCTATTAGTAATTCTATCACACTTACAAGTGAAGGAGCAAGAGTTGGACCTGGAACAAATTGAGAAGGAAGAGCCAGTCAATCGAGCGCCTCAGAAAGGAAAGTGCTATAACTGTAACAATGAGGATCACTGGAAGCATGAATGCAAGGTCAAGAAGAAAATGGGACAGAAAGATCAGAAAGATCAAAAAGGACAGAGACACCTCAAGGAACCGTGGGAAGAGCCATGAGCAGAAAGACAAAAAGATTTATATTCGTCGTTGCCAGGTCCCGGTTCCTTCCACAAAAATGGACGGCGAACAGAAGGAAACTGAAAGAAATCACCCATAAGGATCACGATAGGTAGGCCACGAAAACGATCCGGAGAGGATCTGTTAAGGGAACGAGCAATTTTGTACCGATAATTATAGCATCCGGAGATCGATCATGCTCATTTCATCAATGAGAACTAGTTTATGTGCCCCAAATACTCAGACACGACTAGTAGCCATCACTGGTTTATATGAAAGGGTAATCCCCAGAGAGAGAGTCAGTCAGACTTCCATCAATTAATATAAGTTATAGGCGTCCCTCCTCTACTACGTCAATTTGTAGTTTTTGAGCAAATGTGTATACCAAACGAAGTGGTGAGTCTTCTTGAGAGGACCTTTCAGTTGCTGTGATGCGATTTCGTCGGCTCTATCATCGTGGGCATGATGACTACCACGCCAATGAACGGGTTTAAATGTGGTCCTTCCGCCCACTTCGTGCTATGTCAGTCAGAGATACTATTGCACGGTGGGCGACTCGTTTAAGAGTTTAGTGACGGAGGTCGACGATAGAGGGATTATCTAAAGGGTCCAAATAGTGCAGCAGTGGGGTTTGTGAGTCGCTTTGTGCCAGTATTAATTTTAGGTCATGGACAAACTCCTCACTTTCGATATCTATTATCAGTGGCGGTTCCGAACACCCACCGCCTTCCGCCGGTGGGTGTTCGGCAGCCTAAAGGAATTTTCAGCGTAAAGGAAGAAAATGAAGCAATTTATATTATCACCACTAAACACCTGTAGAATCAATAAAATAAAGCTGATCACCCGATTCCTCTACCAATCCTGTATCTGAAGCTATAGTTTCATTTTCTATATAAGACACTGGCGGGAGGTGGCCGTACACTTTAAAATACACCTTATCCACTGCTTTCTTATTTTTTTCATTATCTTTGGCCTTCCTATCTGCAATAGACCGATTCGCATCCTTTACACACAGTATACCACTATCTCCAAGGCGTTGAATCTCTCGCTTAGACTTTTTACAGCTTCAGGATGCCTGTATAGCCTCAATTCATATAAGAGTTAAATTCATAATAGCAAGCTGTTCAGATTGAAGCTTTTGTTAATAAAATAAGCAGTCAAGATAGCACTCAATACAAGAATTGTTTGGTGTATCATTATTTAAAAGCTTAAATAGCTTTTTCTAATTCTTTTCAACTTGCTGAGCACTTTTTGGAGGTATATTCTCAATACTTAAAGACTGAGGATTTGGAGGCGGCGTAGTCTCTCTATACACGTGTAAATCAGGTGTAGAGATCTCTAGTAAAGATAGTAAAGTCTTCTGAATATCTTCAATAATTGAAGATCTATCTGGAGAAAAAATACCGCGTTCTTTAAAAGAATTACAAATAAGGTACAGAGTAAAAGTCTTCTCACGTACAGTAACAATATCATATAGAAAATTTGCTTTATCTCCCGGGACTCCACACCACTGTACAATATAATTATTTGCACTGCGAAAGTGTATTTTATATATAAGAAAGGACTTTCCATCAAGCAATTAACAGCGATGTGTTATATGAGATCAAAAACAAAAGAGAAGAATCTCATATATCTCACAGAGTTAAAGAAATTCAACTGTTTTATAAGCTATATGGCCGTCGAAGAGAAGTATACATTTTTCTCCCTTTCTTGTACAATCTTTAGTCTCCTCATAAAATCTTTGAAGCCATTCAAGCGCGATTTTATCGTTTATATAGCCTTTATCGGTGACTGCAGTATAATAATCGGGAATTGTTTCATCGTACCAGACCTCCATAAATTTCTTCCCTTTAAAAATAAAGAGTAGAGTCATAATCCAGCCATCTGCAGCAATACACTCAAGCGCAGTAATATTCTCTGGATACTCAGTTTCAGAAAGATTAGGAACTCTTCCCTTTGTACCAAGCATTTTTTGAGGCTTTCCACTACCTGGTTGAAAGCCGCATTTATCAAAGTTATACACAAGACAAGCAGGAACATCTTTAAGTAAGTTAGTAAACTGAATATATCAGAATTGAAGCTGTCTAACATCCTCTACATCTAGACACTTCTTCTCCTTTGGCCTTTGAATCACAGGGCTTAATTTAAGATCAGGAGAAAGTCTTTTGGAAAAACAATATACCCATAATCGACTGACACTCTGTGTAGGATTATCGCGCTGTACAGTAAGGTTTGCCCACTCTAAAAGCAATAATATAGTCACCGAGAGATAAATATCACGCATTTTAGCAATCCATTGCTTTAAGACAGTCTCTTGATACTCATTTAGCACTTTATTTAGTACATTTCGAGCTGTACAAGACTTTCTTCTTTCATAAATACGGCCATGGAGTGTGCGATATGGGATCCCGAATTCCCGCGCGATTTTTGCAATATTAGGCTTTTTTTCAAGATAGACGGCTTCAATAGCTTCATCTACACGTGAATCTGAAATTTTAGACATTTTGGGCATTTTTTATGGTTTGTATAGCTTCAAAAAGATAGAAAATTAATTATCTTCCTTTACGCTGAAAATTCCTTTAGGCTGCCGAACACCCACCGGCGGAAGGCGGTGGGTGTTCGGAACCGCCACTGATATAGCCTTTCTCTACCCGAACGATCCGATATCAAGTCCTGAAATTAGAGCCATATTACCGGAAAACTCCAAGTCCACCGTAGTTACTATAAATTGAGTATATGTCATTAATTCTATAGATTCTTTGATTTTACCATACAGGTATCTAAATAATAGTCACGGTGGTGTATCGATGCCGTACTTCCCATAATCGAAGTGTTCCAAACTCGGTATACTCTCGGCCCAGCCGTCATCCAGTTCCCCGAGTTGCCCTTCCTCTCCGATCTCGATTATGTCCATCCTCCCAGCCAGGACTTCTTTCTGCCTTGCTTGGTACTCGGCCGCAACATCTGGATGCGGTACCCAAACAACTCTCATCCCAGCCCGTCTTCCGGCCTCTACTCCAATCACGCTATCTTCGAACACCACACATTCATGAGGCAAGATAGGCTTTGCGCCACAGGCCGCTGCCGCTGAATTTAACAATTGCAGCGCCACGAGATATATATCCGGTGCTGGCTTCCCTCGCCCCGGTCGTACCCGCGGATCATCACCCAAGACCCGCCTGTCAGGCGGAAAGAAGCCAAGCAAGCGTTTCGTTTCCGGCCTGGAGGTCTTCAATTCGTAGCTGCGGCTTTTGGTGCTAGATGCCAATGCTAACTCGATTCTGTCCCCCGAAGAAGCACTACGTGCCTGGGTGAGGGTCGACAGGATCTTCTCCGCCCCAGGAAGCGGCTTGCAAATCGGGTAATGTCGTCGCATGTTTTCAGTCGACTCACGCGCGAATTGTTCGCGGGAGATAGGCAATTTGGCCCAATTGTGGAACGTGTCGCTATTGGTCGAGTCTGGGATACCCATGAGCTGGGCTCGAATCGAACGGTTAAAGGGGGGTCTCTTGTACTTCTCCAGAAGTTGGTTCGTGGATTGAGTTATTATGTCTTCGGAGTTGATGAGAAGCCCGTCCATGTCGAAAATGCAGGCGCGGATGGCCGGGAAACTGATTACTCTTTTTGTTAGTGTACTGTACTACTACTCTTGGCTCAGGGGGGGGGGGGTTTGGTTGGCTGGTACATACTCGGCCTCATGGATAGCCATAGGGACTGATTTAGAGTCAACAACTTGATACGGTGAGGGAAGAACTTGTATGTTCAACTTTGACAATTGATTTGCGGGGTTGATTTCCGCTTTCCATGCCTTGATCTGGTCTAGCTTGGCTGCCGTGCCGTGGCGCCTTGATTATAGGCTTGAAGAGCCCTAATTGAGGCCCATATATTGTGTCCCTTATAATGACATTATAGAGATATAAAGGTGGAGAAAGAGTTGGTGAACCCTTCCCATGCAACACTGTGCAGCTGGTTAGCAGTAATGGTAGTAATGAGAAATATATTCAAATCTTTTTTCTTCTTGGAATTAATCACCTTTCGCTCCTCTCCTTTCTATAGCTTCTTTTTCTATTTTCTATCCTAGTCCGATTAATGCCAATAACCAATCGCCCACTAGACGTGATGGGAAAAAAAAAAAAAAAAAAAAGTATGATTGGAAACGTTTCCCATATCAGATGCGATGCCCCAACCTACTCTACAAAACTAACAGAACCGCATCTTCAAATTTGCATCCAAACTCTTTTGAATCGCCACCTTAAACAATTCCTGAACCCCACTTTGATCCAAATGCGAAATCGCCTTTTCTGTACTTCCTCCCGGAACACAGACTTCTTTTCGCAAAGTCACGACGGGCTTCGAGGACGCTCTGGCGAGATAACCAGCGCCAAGACAAGATTGAATAACGAGGGGTTCAGCAGCGTCCCTTGAAAGACCCATGGATTCAGCTGCGGCGACCATGGATTCGATGACGAAGAAGAAATGTGCAGGACCAGATCTACCCATTCATTAAGTTAATGGGACTGTTGATTGGTTGATATATATTGTATAGAGAAAGAAAAAAAAAAAAAAAAAAAACCCCCAAAGAAAGACTTGACTTACCCCGACACCGCCGCGACAACATCTAGCATCGACTCTTCCGGCACGATAGTGACAAGGGGAGATACCTCCTCAAGAACTGTTTTGACATGATTGACGCGAAGCGCGGCATCTTCCGATGCGAAGAGACCGGTCGCACCCTGCCTGAACTCCACGGGGGTGTTGGGCATGGACCGCACAATTGCCGTGCCTGTTGGCAGCCAATCTTGGAGCTGGCTGACGGTTATGCCAGGACACATTGTCACCACGGTAGGACGGACAGACGGATCAAAGGACGCGAGGGTGGGTGCTAGCTGTTTTGCAACGGTGGGCACATCTGCTGGGCGTGTGCAGATGAAGACAATGGGGGATGTTGGATTATCTTGGGTGGAACTTCGCTGGGATATTCTGGCGGCTTGCCAGATGCGTTGATCCAGGTTATCGTCGGTGACCAGAAGTTGCTGGTATCGCGATCGCAGTTCTTGGATATGTTCCGGCCGTCGGGCTGTTACTGCGATGTCGCATTGCAGGGTCCAGGTAGTGGTAGAGGAGAGAATGCCACTGATTATGGCTTGCGCGAGATGGCCGCCTCCAATGAAGGTGAGATGGATGGGACTTTCCGTGGAAATAGTCATGGTTTAGTTAATGGATGGCAAATGTTGGTTGTTCAGCCGTCTTAGTATTTTGTGGGTAATGAGTGGGATTTTATTTCTTCGAAAGAACGAAATACAGGGGATTTTATTTATTCGGTACGCTTTCATCAGTTATTGTTGGCCGATCACCTTGAGGGAAATGATTGACTGTCTATATATGTATATATGTACTATGTGGTATATTACTTGTATCCACTGCATGGCTGGCTTGACTGACATACCTTCAAGTAAGGACAAGTGAAAGCAGGGATGAGACCAGGGTTAACCTGGTCGTAAACTTGGACGACTGGACCGAGTATCTCTGCCTGCACTTTTCCAGCGTGCATAGAACGTTTCTCCAGCTCGTGATTGCACATCAAATGGCTGTTTTCAGAAAAATAGAATGACCAAGGTGTCATGTTCTTTAGTAGTATTAGTATTCAGTTGAAGGGCGGAATGAGGAATGTCTAATTTGACCCACATTATTTAATGCTTCTGACGTTCCTCAGAGTAATTTATGCACGTCCAGAATGTTTTGCATTTTGGTATTGGACTTACAATACCGGTTTTCATATTACATACCAAGCATACTCGAGCTTTTATTTTCTGTATGAGGATAGCATAAGGTATGTAGAGATCAAGGAAAAACGATACGGGGCAGCCCTACACTCCTCCATGCACTCAAAACCAATACCAATCAGTATCGGGGAATGGGCAATAAGCAATGTTGGATAAGGTTGTCGGAATTTTGGAAAACGGTGGCGGTGGCTAGATTAACGCAAATAAGATGAGTGGATAGGGGGAGGAATTCAGTCTGCATCTGATTTAGGAGTTTGGCGCATTATAGTATCTCAGCGTTTATGGATTTGCTTTCAATGTACATCTATAGAGGTTGCGAAGGTATTTTCATTTCATTACTCAATCTTAGCAGAATAAGAAGGTCGGCAAGTAAGTAAATAAGTATCTAACCCTTTAATAGTTGTATTCGGACAAAGTGGGAATGTTGCTAGGGACTGTCATAAATGCTATCAACTAGGAGCTAGAATCTAGCTAAAACTGATGGAAGGGGCGCTGTGCATTTCACTGTGTTCATGCAATTTCAGAGTGTCCCATAACTAATTTTTTTTTTTAATGATCTACTGGAATAGGAAATGGAGATAGACATTTGAATTAAGACATGTACGGATTGTTCAATAGAACGATCAGCTAACTACACTTCACCCAAAACACTTTGGATCCGAGCAAACACCTCTCGTACAGTATCCTCGCTGAGAAGCCGTCGGTTTCCTTCAAATTCTAAATGTAACCTTCCGTTCCGTGGAGTGGCATAAATCTCTGGACGCCCTCGAGGAAGCAGATCATGTTCGTGGACAGTAATCGTGCTTTCGGAGTCTAAAAACTTGAATTCCATTTCATCTTCCTGCTGGAATGCCGTTCGCCAACCAAAGTCGACCACCTGCTCCGGCCAGTCGGTGCAATTTCGAATAATTTCCTCCATTCCTGGAGACTCATGGGCGGAGTCATCAATGAACTGGGCTTGCAACCGCAGTGCGACAGTCACGATTGTGTCGTTGAGACCGATGGATGCAATGATCGGCACTTCAGTCATGGTAGGACCGACGACGTTTTGTAGACTACCAGGGAGCATGGAGCGCCCCGTTACTAGACGACCAAAGACAACATCTTCCTGTCCGAACATTTGAGAGAGGGCAATGGCACAGGCTGCGTGGAAGAAGGTTGCACTGGAGATTCCTTCGTGGCGCTGGATGTTGGGCATTGAGAAGGATGTTGTTACTGTCATTCGATCAGAAGTGTTGTATACCGCATCAATACCACTTGCTGGACTCCAGCTGGGATGGCAGTAGTCCCGGAGTCTTGATGACCAGTATGGGAGACTTTGTGCTTTCTTGTGCTCGTTGAACGCTATGAATTGGCGAAACGTAGGCTGTGTTGGCAGTGACTGTTGATAGTATAGGGCTGCCAAAGTTTGGATCATCATGCCCCAGGTATATCCATCGAATTGGGCGTGTGCAATTCGGAAGACCAGGCGATGCTTTCCAGCTTGGTGTCGGATAGCCATAAAGCGAATGAAGGACCGTCCTAACTGGCGCGGCCTCTTGAGATCTTCTTCACAGAGTTTACGAGTGAAAGACTCCACATCGTCATCAGCATCGAAGGTATCATAGATGGGCTTGAATCCATCCAGAAGAACTTGCCAGAACCGACCATCCGCTTGAACAAATACTGCACAAAGTATATCGAAATGATGGACAAGTGCTGTACACGCCCATTCCAGTCGGGCAAAGTCAACGTTGTGGGGGAGCCCGAAGATCCAAATCGGCAGTCTCCCAGGGGGGTCCTGCAGCGCGTCTATGACTGCTCGTTTTTGAAAGTCGGTACAAGGAATGACATCTTTGACAATACCTGCATGGTCATACAAGAAGGGCTCGACATAATCTTGGAGGAATGTCTTATGATCATCCGTTTTCAGAAACGAGAATGCCGGCTGGGGCTCAGACGCTTCATCTTCCTCCGTCGTCTGCGTAACCAACAAGGCCATCTGGGATAGACGAGGGGCTCTGAATATTTGTGCCACGGTGAGTGAAAGGCTCTGTAGCCGTGCAGCTGTAACGAGTCGCATAGCAGCGATAGATTCACCACCGATACGCAGGAAGTTGCTGTCAGCGCTGATACTGGCAGGTTCCACACCGAGCACAGAGGACCAGAGGACTTGCAGTCTCTTCTCCATCTCAGTGGATGGTTCACGATGTTTTTGGCCATGAGATTGGAGTTCAGCTAGCCTCTCCAAAGTTTGCGCATTACCCAGCTCGCGAAGGGCTCGACGATCGGTTTTGTTTGTTGTCGTCATTGGGATTTGGTCGACTGGAATATAAGCGCCGGGTATCATACTATAATTACACTTAGCACCGCATCTTCGAATTAGAAAACATCAGAGCAAGTGGAAGCACTTACTATTGAGGTAAACAATCGACAAGTCTCTGCTCCAGGGCTTCCATGAGCTCGGTAAAGGTGGATGGATTCTTCCCTGATTCTCTAATGCTATCAGCGAGGCTAATGAAGACAGCTAATAGAGGATTGCCATTCTGTGGTCTGATAATCTCGGCTGCAACACCATCATAGAGGCTTGCATCTGCTAGACAAACGCGAGCGTGGTATTCAACTTCTGCTAACTCGATTCGTTGACCTCGCAACTTGATCATTCCATCTTTCCGACCGATAAAGTCGAACGACCCATCGGAGTTGTAGCGCAGAAGATCACCAGTCTTGTATAGCCTCCCCGATCGTCCTGGGTGCGCAGACGTGCCTTGCAGGAGCCAAGAGGGATCTTTGATATATGCTGCTGTGGTCTTGTCTGAGTCTGCGAAATACCCTTGGCTGACTGTTGGGCCCTCAATAAGGAGTTCACCAATTGCCCCGATAGCGGCGAGGCGATCCGGACATCCTGGCTCGACCAGCCACATATTTGCACCAAATGGCAGTCCAA